CACCCGGCTATTTTTTGGTTGCTGCCGTCATTGTTGTTTGGCAGGCCCAGGCTGGATTTGAACCTGCCACCTTGGGTGTACGTGGCTGGTGCCTTAGCCACTTGAGCCACAGGCACCGAGCCGCAACTAGAATTCTAATTTTGATTTTATCATTACCTCATGTGGTTGTGCGTAAATCACAAGCTCATTAGATTTGTTTTTCACATCTATAAATTGAATAGGTCAGACTATATCATGGCTTATTAACCCACAACATATAGGGCTTAAGAGGGACTGAAGAAGGTCTTAAAATGAAATACAAAATTTTATGTGTATGTGTATTTTTCTGGGACAAGAGGATATACAGCATTAATCAAATTCTCAAACACATCAATGACCCATCTCCCACAACTGACTGAGAAAATGATGTCTTTTGGTTTTAAAATTATGAGATTCTTACAAATGTAACTCTAGGCATACTTGTCTTTGGAGGTGTGGCTGCATCATGGAATACTGATGGCCGCCGTGCCTGGGAATCCCTGGTATTCTGGCAGCATTCTGAGCCAGTCTCATCTGATGGGCTTGAAAAGGGCCACAGTTCATGTTGCCTCTTTGCATTGTTTGCACACTGATCAATCGTGGAGGCTACAACAAGTAGACATTGATATTTATGTAACAATTTACCAATAAATTTATCTTTCAATTATAAAATGTTATGATAAAAACAGTTCAGTCAAGATAAAAAGTATAATGAAAAGCCATAAATCATTCTTCTCAGGTCTAATCCCAATCCCAATTCCCAATTCAGTGTGGAAAGATGAGAACTTCTGTTCTCCCAGAGTATTAGTGTTAAATTTTCTTACCAAAATAAGTTATTTGCTTCCTACCTTCTTCACACGAGAGCAAATATTTAAACTTTGATCTCTCAGCTCTGCTCAAAATCCTACTAGTAACTTTGAAACATGTAACTCTTCTGTATATGGAAAAGTGTAATCTTGAAGGCTTCGAAATTTGTACCAGTAATGTAGTAACATAGTACTCACCTGTTGTTGTAACATCTGAGGGGCTGCCTGTCTAGAATGCTGCTGGGTGGTGGTGGTGGTGGTTGGTACAGGTGCTGGTGGCTGCTGCATCCTCATCTGTTGTAACTGCTGATGTTTCTGTGCATACACTTGTTGTTGCATGTGCTGGAGCCGAAGCTGTGCTAAGTTAATCTGTCCAGGGGTTTTACTAATGTGGTTTGTCCCTGGAGGAACTTGCCCAACTACAACATTCGGAGTATAACCAGGAGCTGGTTTACTCTCGATTACTAGATTACCTGAAGGATGTAAAAAAGAAGAAGAATTTTCATAGAATTAACTAATCATCTACTTTGCAGAGTAACCACTAACTTTTCCTACTTTTTCTGACAACCATCAGAGACTCAAAGCTTCCTATAGCTCAGCAAGAATTGGAGCCAGGCTTAAAGATGATGATGATCAGAAATCTAAAGCTGAATGAATCACGTTTAATTATCTAGAATGAATCTGCCATTACTCTTTATTTACACAGGTGTACAGAAAATTAGAGACGAAAGAGATGTGTTATTAGAGGAGGCCCACAAAGTCAGTCTAAACCAATTCTCCCATGACAAGACTCAAGGAGACTGGATACTGCTAGTACTGATTCCATCTGCCTTTGAATTGTCAAAATGTTGGCTCAGCACCTGCAGCACAGTGGATACAGGGCCAGCCACATACACCAAGGGTGGAGGGTTTGAACCCAGCGTGAGCCAGCTAAACAAAGGCAACAACAACGACAATAGTCAGGTATTGTGGTGGGCGCCTGTAGTCCCAGCTACTTAGGAGGCTAAAACAAGAGAATTGCTTGAGCCTAAGAGCTGGGGGTTGCTATGAGCTGTGACACCACAGCACTCTACTGAGGGTGACACAGTGAAACAAAGAAAAGAAAAGAGAATTGTCAAAATGTGCAGTGCAAAGTACCACAGTGCAACAAAACTGTCTTCTGTGGCAATATGGAATGTTTTAGACCACTTATGTTCATAGAAGTGAAAATTTTCCTTGCTTTTCATGAAGTCATTGCTTTCTAGGAATAGAGGGCAAATTTTAGAACAATGTGATTTAAGAAGGTTGGCAGGCATTTCCTGTAATGGGCCAGGCTAAATATTTTAAGCTTGGCATACCACAGAAAGATCTGCCTCACAATCTTTGGTTTTTCTTTGTATGTACAAACCATTGTTAACTACCATCAAACACAGAATAGCTTCCTGACACCAGATCTAAGGAGGTAGCCAGAATATAATTGTCATATTATATGAAGATTTTTTTTTTCTGAGACAGAGTCTCACTCTATTGCCCTAGGTAGAGTGCTGTGGAGTCATCCTAGCTCACAGCAACCTCAAACTCTTATGTTCAAAAGATCCTCTTGCCTCTGCCTCCCAAGTAACAGGGACTACAGGCACTTTCTATGATGCCCAGCTATTTTTTTCTAATTTTTATTAGAAATGGAGTCTTGCACTTGCTCAGTCTGGTCTCAAACTCCTGAGCTGAAACAATCCACCGCCTTGGCCTCCTAGAGTGCTAGGATTATAGGCATGAGCCATCATGCATGACCAGATTACTTTCTTTCTTTTTTTTTTTTTT